TATGTTTCAAGGACAAAAGCGGTTGAAGGCAAGCGATCTCTCTGACTTGTTTTCCGATGATGAGCTATCTGACGTGCCTTATGTAGTAGTGATTAGTGACTCAGACAGTGGAAGTGACAGGGGTCAACAAAGAATTGTGGCCACAGATAATAAAAGTGAAAGTTGCATTGTGGCTTATAAATTGTGCCATTTTCAATTTATTTTTGGTTTACAAAAATCTAAACCCTTATTCTAAATTGAAATACAAAGCATTTCTGATGAATGTGGCAAAGGCTTGGGCTACAGACCAGATGGTGGCGGCAGAACCAGAGTTGGACAGACTTAGTGCAAACTAGCCCATGAACTCCCACCCCACACAGGCCTCATGTGGACAACCCTCGGATGATATGCAGAAATATACCCTGGTGAAAACTGTGAAGAGTGAACACTCCAAGGAAAAGCATCCTTCTAGGCAATGCCGTGTTTGCGCAGTTCACAAAAAAAAAAGGACTATGACTGTCTACATTTGAAATTGTATAATGCCACTTCACAAAGGGGAATGTTTCCAGAAATATCACATTCTCAAGCATTTCTTGGAGCATTGGTAAGTGTTCTCCAAAAATTTTAGTTCATAAAATTAATTAGGAGATTTTATATTAATTTTTAAAGTGAACAGTGCACAAGTTAAGGTAGTAGGTATAAAAATGCCGGTCCCCAGGGTGATTTAAATATTTAAATCGCCGGTCCGCAAAATGTTAAGTACTTGGCAGTCTGCCATCAGAAACTACAATTTTTGCTGAAAATACTGTGACATATTTGTTCAAAGCAAGAACTGTGCAGCCAGGGAAACAGCCACTGCTAGTGAACAGCTCTGGAAACAACATTCACTGTTAGGAAACAGATTCTTAATAAGCAACAATTGAACTCCAATAATAGAGGAACTTACGAAAAAGGTGTTTTATACGTGGTCTGTGCAAAGGGGTTATAAGTGGGATGAAACTTAGCTTAGTTCAGATTGGGATATGTACCAGATGGTAAGGACAGTGTTAAAACCTGTTACCAGGAAACAACTAGTGAAGAGAAGAAATAGAAGACTTTATATGTGCTGCAGCTAGATGTCAGTCGAAAGTCACTCTGTGCAGAGGAGACTAGGTCAGTGTGAAATGGCCACCAGTGTGGGAGTTAGAGAACTGCAGTTCAGTCATGAGCCATTGATGTTAGAAGCTGATAGCTGAGGCATGGGTACAATTCAGAAACCAAGAGTAAGGGGAGCATCCACACTTGGAAGCCATTACCAGGCAACTACTAGTGAAGACTGTAATTGACTGAGGTCACTAGTCTGTGTGACAGTGATCTGTAAAGTGTAGTCACGAACTGTGAGTGTATGTGAGGTCAATAAACCCAATCTCAAATCCAGAACCCTGTCAACATTCACTCTAACACGTGACAATATTTTCAAAATGTTATCAAAATTCATTGAAACAGGATGGCTTTATTAGACACCCATAGAAAGAGGGACATACTAAAAATATGCTAATTCTAACTTCTTCTATATTTTGTTTAGTCTGGTAGACATTTGCTGAACTGATTGCTTGGCTTCCTCTTCAGCCCTAAATATGGAGGCAGTACATTCCTCTGGCATGTCAGTAAACCTCTACCAGACTACACGAAATCACTTCCCAGATGACTGCGCTCTTCAGTCACTGCTGTAAGAATCTCAAATCTTATATGCAATCGTCATTCTTGGTACCATAAGTTTTCACTTTTCTATGTCCCAAAATCGCTGGCTCTGGCACTCATTGATCACACTGACAACTAAAACATCATAAATATAAAAGTTTGTGATGACGGTACATTAATACAACTATTGTGATAGGGACTAGCTCTATCAATTGGGCCCAACTGAGTAGGTTCCACCTGAAGACAAGAGACAGAATTCAGCCTCTGAAACAGTTTTTTATATAAAAATAGGACACTGTTTTAAACAAAAGCAGGACAATGGATTATGTCCAGAAACACAATAGTTGTAAAACCAACCTCATACATTACTTAAAGAATTCTTTCAGCAAGCTAAATATAACTGTCATCTTCTTTTGAGATAAATATCTTAACAAATTCATGCAAGGGGGTAACTTGGATAACAGGAACACTTATAAAAGCAAGGACCTGCAAAAACATCAACATGAGACCAATAAATATCCTGTAATGCATTTCTGTGAATCTTTGCCATCGTAAATAGTCACCATTTTCTCTAATGGCTACATACACATTTTCCTTACCAAAATTATATCCAATTTTATGTGACAATGCCTACAGAAGGCCATGTCACCTGTTATGTAACTGACAAAAGTTCTTGGAATTCATGTTACTTTGAAAAAATATATCTATGTAAATAAATGGATCCAACAGCTCAAAGAATGAATTATTCTGTAACCAATACAATTTTCAGAACTCATGTCCCTTTCGAAAAAAGGTAACAGCAAGTAAAACAAAAGAGATTGCAACTGACAGGAAATGAAAGAAATTCAGTAGAAAAGAAAAATAGACATGAAATCGCTGGTCAAGAAATTTTCCCCCTAAATCTACATATACTTCCGTAAACATCTACATGTTTTCTGTAATTCTCTATACACCATAAAAATCTATTTACAAAGTTAAATTAATCAAAGATTATAGGAATTCATTTATTAAATAAAAATAACGTTTTCTAAATGGTAAAATAATATTACAATAAAGTGAACATTAACAAAAAAAAGTTGCATTTCTTTGAAACACAACAAAGGCACCGTTAAATTATAAAAACAGTGTAATTGACGGAGTTTAACAGTATGGAGATGAGATTTGTTTGTACTCTGCATGTTGCACAATGTCACTGTAGGAGGCCAGTACTAACAACAAAACTGTCTCTTCCTCCTTCAACCTTCATTTTTATCATGCAACACTATGATAAATGTAAGGGTGAATGATGATAAAATAATTGATGGTCATGTACTTGCCTGAATATAACTTACTATAACTCATAATATTATACTATTTATTTCACATCAACAGAAAACATCAAGCTGAAGACAGGGTACTTTTCACCCTGCAATGCCATCCCTTCACTTGTACTGATAAAGTACCTCATTTAAACCTGTTGATACCAGCTATTCTAAACTGAATTTTTGTTAAAATATAAACCTGTTTACAGTGTGCTTACAGATATGACCATCTTCTGGGATTCAATATTGTGTAGCCCTACAGAAGATGGCCAACATTTTGGCGGACTTCTACAAGATAACGCAGCATGATGTTCCAGATGACAATACTAGTCTCTCTATGATGCTACATTCTCAACTAATTCTGAATTGACCAGATGAAGCGTATACTATATTTCATGTTACATAACTCTTACATGAAGGGGGGAGAATGAGAGACTTGTAGCAGCAAAAATTCACTGTTACATAAGTCCATGGATAGAAAATCATATTTATTAGGTCAATGATTGAAAATTTTGGAAGGATTTGAACATATTTTAACCCTCTCTGCACTGTTCGTGAACTAAATATATGGCAGTTTTACACACCAATGCATACCTACCTAAAAATTTCTTCAAACAAGGGCTATGTGAACATTTAGTGAACACAGACTTTACATTAAGACTGGTTTCAGGATTTTAACTTTCCACACTCTTGTAACCAAGCAAAACTGGAAAACGTACTCTTACCACGTAAGATAAATGAGGAAGGTTTCATATTACTGTCACATTACAAACCTAGAAGTTCCAGCGTATTTCAAGACATTGTTACTTTCTCAAAAATCGCTATATGTATGGAAGTATTAATTTAAAAAATAAATTTGCCCTTCAAGTACAGTAGTGTTTATTTCCAACACCAGTCTGCTTGTACCAATTCTCACGGTCTCTTTGCTTGCAGATTTTCTTATTTTTCCTTCTACCCTGAAGATGGAGGTGATATGTTCCTCTGAAACGTCGGTTAACACCACATCTACATGGTACCACATCCCAGAAGACTGCCATCTATGTCATACGTTTTATTAATTAGTCCAAATATTAAGTTCCGACAATGTTGGTGAACAGAAAATTAACATCTTTCAGGGTTTAAACTTCAATTTTGATGTAGAATGGAAGGCCAAACAGTCAAATGACTACAACAAAACCTGAAGTATTTAACACTGCTTCCACCAGAGTCTAGTACTACACCCAATGATAATTATCACCTTTAACACAGTTTGCTACAACATAAGATACTTCTCTGAAATTAATTTTATTTTCACCTTCCATTTTCAGCCCCACTCTTCAGAGGTTTCCCAGCAACAAAGTTGCCAACAAATATGAGATCTAAAACAGGACTGAGAACCCAATATTTAATTTGAACATAATCCCCTATCCCTTCTACAACTGGCTACTGCTAACAGAAAGTGACATATGCCTGTATTTTGTGTTAACAGAGCACAATGTGTGTTACTTTGGAAGCCTTCATAGATGCCTATTCAAAACAAATAATACATAAATCTGGCAGTGGCAGTATGCAGAGTTCCAAATTAAATAATACCTTACATTCATACCTATTTAATCGACAATTTGTTGCTAAAAGTTGGAGGAATACATATTTCATTTTTTCCCCTGAAATTTCTTGTCCAAATACAGGTGCATAAATTAGTCATGTAAATACTGTAACTGAAATAACACTACGAAACTTCAATAACAGTTGTAATTGCTGGTCAAAATGTAACACAGGTCATACATTTTAGTAACAGCCAAAATAATTAAACACAGCTAATATCTTCATGCCGGTCACGGTAGCCAAGCGGTGTAAGGCATGCACTGTCTTCGATCGCTTGGAAGCTGGGATCGTGGGTTCGAATCCCACTCAGGGCATGGATGTTTGTGTGCGTTTTTCTGTGTTTGTCTATAGGTAGAGGCCTTGCAACGAGCTGATCACTCATCCATGGAGTCCTACCGTATGTGTAAGATCTAGAAAAACCGAAGTGAACGGAGTTCATGGAGGTAGGCCTAGGGCCACTGGGGCTATAGTGCCAAGGGGGAAAAAAAATATATATCTTCATATGAAATGAAAATAATAACATGTGCTTTCATCCACACATATAATAAGAGTCTGGTTTGTAAAGGAGAAAGAAATGTTCAAAAAGGGCAAATTTCTGGTGGAAAATCTTGAATGAAGAAAGATTTTCTTAAAATAAAAATAACATTGACTTTCATCTACAAATATAATCAAAGTCCAGTTTGCAAAAGAAGAAACATATGTTCAATAGGGGCATATTTCAGGTGGAAAAGTTTGAATGAAGAAAACAATTCTTAAAATAACAAATAATTAAAACAAAGACATTCTGTACATTAATAACAAATTTCTCACAGATCAGGTAAGTTAACCCTTCAGCGCGGTTTGCCGTACACCGTACGCCAAGCTGTAAGCCTAATTTCGAAGGCCCATAATATGGAACAAAACATGCCAGCATGATGAAAACTGCACTGGGCTGTTGTGAAAAGAATGCGCTCTCTGTTCGTGTAACCTTAAGATTCATGATCCTGCAGCTCTGCCAGTCAGTCTAAATAGAACGCGTGACCTCACAGTTACGGTGGTCGAGTGACTATGATATCAACATACCACAAAGGTGATATGCCTGTGGTTGTGAATAAAGCAAACAAACAAGAAACAAAGCCCCTGGTTGTTTGTGATTACAACAGAAACATGCTAGGAGTGGATCTGGAGGATCAAATGCTACAGCCGTACTTGCTTGAACTAAAGAAGAGTACTAAGTGGTATCAGAAGTTATTCCAGAGGCTACACAATGTAGCAATACGTAACACAATGGTCATATATCGGTGTCTCCCGAATAACAAACACATTGACACACTAAAGTTCAGACTTTCAGTGGCACAAAGGCCCGTGGAAAAAAACAGTTCTGGTTTTCCTCATCCTGTATACGGCCGCCCGTCAGATGAGGCGCCGCCTAAAAGATTCACAGAACGACATTTCCTGGAGCGTATTCCAGCCAAAGGAAAAAGGTAAAGTCTCAAAAAAGATGTGTGGTGTGCGCAAAACATGGTAAAAGGAAAGAATCTATTTACTGGTGTAGTGAATGTGAGGCAGGGTTGTGTTTAGATGGATGTTTCAAGAAATATTATATGAAACTCAACTTCTAATCCACTTGCTTCCATCGCTCAGATACAGGGTGCTCATATAAGGTAAGATTATAAAACCATCTTTTAAGATGATTTCGGTTAAAAATTCATAATTATATCTCATATAGTTCAAAAGTCATGATACATAATATAATTTAGAGCAACATTTAAATGGGCAATTAAAAAATACTATCGCAGGAGACCCCAAAACAGTGATATTTAAATGCCTGCGCTGAAGGGTTAAGAAAGAAAAGCCCTTCTTACGTCACATTCATCACTTGCGGCAAGTACAATCTGCCCACATACATCCAGAATTTTCCAAATTATAAAATGAATCATTTTACCTGTCCCAAAAATTAAGCTGAAAACCAACATTTCTAAATGGAGGCAACACCTTGAGGAAGAACTCTACAGCTCTAGACCCCAAGATTTGAAATATTTGCAGACCACAGACCCAGAACTTTTCATTTCCTTTGTTCCTGTAAATGAGTCTACAGCAAAAGGTGAAGTGAATCTGTGATGTATTCATGACATTTCAAACAGCAGCTTCAAGTTCTGTTTGTTTTCTATTAAACTTCCACAACTACTTTTGTATTATATGAAATATATGTCAATGAACATTAATTTATGGAATGTCACCTATTATCATATTATTACAATATAAAACTATTACTGATTATAACAATAAAAAAAAAAATTAATTTATGATCAAAAGATTATACTCAGGCAAATACACAACCATTTTACATTGTTGTCTGACAAACAGAACAAAATCAACTAATATTGTAGGTTATTACGGGGCTCAGTTTAATAACATAGCTATTATGTTCAACTTGGTTTTGTTGAGGGCATCTGGTGATGGAGGTCATTAACACCATCTCTTCGTATCACCTGAAAAGCAAAGACAACAGGGTAAAAACTCTTATATTTATTCAGAGGCAGTTTTATTATAAGGAAGTAACTGTTAAATGTTAAAAATAATAAAAGTAATTAGAAACAGGAGACTGAACTAAAAAGAGATCCCTCCCCAAAATTCACTAACACTTTCACTGACAGAAACTTAATTAACCTCGCACATGTTGTGGCATTTTTGCTTGAAGCAAGAACTGTGGAACTAGAGAAACAGCTGCTGCTAACAGCTATGAAATATTCTTTTCTGGGCACTGGCCACAAAACAGGCAATGGAATGACGTGCATTGCTAGGCAGTATATTCTTAATAAGCAGGAATAGACAGTTGCCGCTAGTGAACTTAGTAAACACAAGTCCATGGAAACAGCATACAACAATGAACAGTGTGTTATCTATGAGGGCCATGCCAAGGAGTTATAAGGAAGAAAGTGGATCAACCAAGTCAGTTCAGTATGGGAGTATACGAAGAAAAGAACCAGTTGGAAGGGAGCAGCAATTCAGAGAGGACTTGAACGCGGAAGCTGAAGAATGTCAACTGTTAGAAGCCATTATCAGGGAACAGCTGGTGAACATACAGCAGGCAGGAAAAGGCTTGGTGTGTGATGTGGTGATTTGTGAACTGTGGAGATTAACAGTGGCACCGTAATTACCAGTAGTTCCTAGCTGTGTATAAGTGGCCAACAAAACCAATATCCAATCCAAAACCCCACTGACAGTCAGACACATACATGTGACAACATATTAAAAAAAACTTTCCCAGACCTGTATGGAACAAAATTTCATAACAGAGTGATAATTATAATACTGAGAACAATTTGGACACATTTTAACTCATAAAGTTAGGAAGCAACAGGACTCTCAGCCAAATTAGGAAACATTTAAAAATTTCAAAATCTGTTCTTTCCAAAATACAGTTCCACTTCAGTGAAGCCTAACACAGATACTTCATATATTACTACATTGCACTGGACAACCGAGGGGTCGAAGTTTGAGTCCTGGTAGGGTCGAGAATTTGTTCTCTGCATCCTCCAGATTGTCTCTGGGGCCCACCAACCCTCCTATCCAAAGAGTACCAGCGGCTCCTTCCCTGGGGGTAAAGCTGACCACTCACCTCCAACTAGTGCTGAGGTCAAGAAAATGTGGCTCTATCCATCCACTCCCCCATGTCTTCATGGCATAGTGCTTAATTAGTTAAGCATAGGGTCAACTTTACCTTACCTTACATCTCAAAGGACTTACTGTACCTCACTAATAATACTACAAATCATATACAAGTTATATATTATAACACAGCAGGATGCATGAAATGAAAAATACTACAAATATTAAGATGTACCTCCATCTTCTTCTCACATACTTACATGTCCTAGGGCTATACAAATATTAAAGTAGCACCCCAATTATCTGACATTCCAGGTTATCTGACTTCACTTGAAAGAACGCAAAAACCAAGTCTGCGATATGAGCAATGGTGATGATGCATACTGCACATATACTGCTGTGCATTTCCATGCTTGCTCCACTAACAAGTGATAGTTCATCAGTGACTGTGAGCACATACATTACTTCTGTTTTATTTTCATGACATACACATAAAATGATGTGATTAATTATGTTAATTTATATGCATTTTGTCATTTGTCATTTATTTATAGTTCCAAAAAATCCATAGAGGCATCTGCCTCAGATATAGAACAAGTCAATAATACAATATAACATATAAATATACATATACAATCAGACAGTCATCATCGTCAAAATTTAAATACTCAATACAACAAAACTACTGTACAACAATACATTCATATATCAAAATAACATTTAAAATTACATACATGATTAAAAGACTGTCAAGACTCTTAATATAGTAATATAAAATCTATTTTCTTAATATATGATACACCTATATTACAGCAGTGATAGCACCTTTTTCCTGAGTATTTTATTCCATATTCCATTGCATCCTAGCAATAGGCAACAGTGTTTACTAAATATACATGAGGTATCAATCTTTATTCCAGCAGTAGTATTCTTCAACAGTATAAAAAGAACTGGTGATAAGAAACTTCTTTAACGCCACTTTAAATCCAGGAATGTCATAAGATAATTGTTTAAGCTCTGGAGGGAGGTGGTTATAAAGTTTGATACCAGAATACCATCCACCTTTCTGAAATATCGTTAAGTTTACCACCGGAAGATGCAAGTCGTGATTAAATCTGGTATTACGTGTGTGGACATCAGAGTTTGTTATATAGCAATCTCTATTCTTGACAACGAGCATAAGTAAAGAAAATATATATTGAGACTGAAGTGGCAGAATATGTAACTCCTTAAATAAATTACGGCACGAATCTACATTACGCGAATTGGTAATAATTCTTATTATTCTTTTCTGTATTTGAAATATGATTTTTGCATGAGCATATTCAATTACTGGTTTAATTGTTATGGCAAGTGTAAAAAGAGAGAATGTGGGTCTTTCAATGGAATACTACAAAAGAAATGATCCACAGTAAGAGAATAAGGGCTCTAGAGGCAACCCTCGTTTACATGCAGTAGCAACACAAGGCAACAGGGACAGACCTACTGCTTCTAAACCTTGCCACAAAGAGAAAGGAAGCTGGAAAACAAATCACAAGCTTCTTTAAACAACGAACTTTAAGATTTTACCATGTATATATAAAATTTTCATTTATAAAAGTTTAGTATTGCATTTTTTATACTGTTGTTACCAACTATTGTTTCATGCTGTCATGATTTATGGGCATGACTAACAATAACAGGTTTGGATTGGGTAATTGGAATTATTAACACCTTCTTGTACACTCACTTGTAATCACAATCAATTATAATAACTCACAATAAATGACTGCCTAGGACTGGCTCCATTCTGATCTCTCACCTCCTGGCTTCTTCTCTGAACTACGACCAACTCAATTCTGTTCTGCTGTTATGTAGTGTTGGGTCGGACCAACAGAAAACACCTTTCACTTCCATATCCAAGGAAATGCCTGTTTGTACCACAGTGACAGGTTGGTTTCCAAGAATATATCTCTATGGAAACATCTGTTTATCACTCAGAGACATATTGGTTTCCAAGAATCTATCTCCTTGGAAATGTGTTTTGTTGACTCGTTCCCTAACAATGGGTCTACACATCACAATACACTTCTGAACCAAGTTGTGTAGACATGTGCTCCATGTTTTTATGCCATTTGTATCATCCAACCCCACCATCTGGTTCAGTTTAGGTCAGATACTCGAGGTTTTACTCTAATTTAAAAATTATGTTAACTTCTTTATACAGACAAGAGCCTATAAAAGTTGGTGGTGTTGCTTCTTGTTCCTAAATGCTGAATTCAAGAAAAATGTGAACAGCACTTAACAGATCTTGGGTCTGTTCCAATTTAAACACAAGCAAAACATATTCCTAGAAGACATTCAATATTTTGTTACCTGCTGCGTGGCAACTACAGGAACTTGTGAATTCTGATGTGAGGAGACAGTTGCTGGAGAAGAGACAACCTGGTACACATAGCCAGATGGCTGTTGGCTTGACCTGCATTCAGACATATACCATCATATACAGCATCACTCATAGAAGGGTAACAAAAGTAACTGCACAAACTGGCTACAATGAATATGGCATTTAAAAAAATTCTCAAAAACAAATAATGATAACATAGACTCTGTAATCACACATTGTTGAAAACATATAAGAATGATTATGCTGCCTCTGGATTCAAATCCTTATTTCAAAAGAAAATTTTAACTTCATATTTAAGTGTACCTTCCCAAATTATCCCAACATACAGTGACGTTCTTTCAAGTGCCCCTTAAATCATCACACCTTTCATATAGATTAGCTGGACACTCCTGTCAAGTCAGTCTCAAGTCAACTGCTAGCAGAAACAAACAACAACAGATTAGGGCAGTTGCTTGAAGTACTCTCTGCTGTCCCAGATACATTTACTGGCACCGCCAAAATAAATTTTCAATCATGTGTTGGAAATAGTGGTAAACTTCCCTTCAGCTCTTCAATTAAGTGAGGGTTTAAGTCATAGTGAACTTGGGAGTATGGCCCAGAAACCACTAATAATAATTCAGTCTCTAAACATTCCCTAAAACATGCCCACAGATGCCTTTGCTGTATGAAAGGTAACAGTCTTGTTGGAAGAATGCGTACTGGCATTCTTCACCTGATGGCCCCCAAAAATGGGCAGAGAACCTACTCCATGTACTTTTCTGAATTAATAATTTCCTTGAAGAAAATTAATCTGCACTCCCACTACAACAGACACCAATTTTAGAATCAGTGACACCTTGTGTACCAGACTTAGACCATGTGAACTCTAGTTATCTGCTACTTTTCTTACACAACCACTTTTCATATAGGTATCATACACATACATCTGTTCCAATGTGTATATCCCTAATGGCATTTCAACACACGAAAGAACATGAATGAATAAACGCTTACTGCATATCGCATCTGCCAAGTGCAGTATGGTAATGTAACATAAAGTAAAACATGAGGTTTAGAATTTAAATCTCAGACAGGTCACAATGAATATATATCAATTTTTAGTAGCTGTTTAAAATGTTGGTTAGGCAAAAGTACAAAGCATATGAAGTTATGTGGCCTGTTATGATTTCCTTCCCGCATTTCTAATTTATGGCTTCAGAATTACCATATTTGCCCTCAGGGAAACATTGGCAGGTTTTCCCATGTTCTGAAATAGCATACCATGTAAGAACCCTAAAGCGGCCTCCGTAGTCTAGGGTTAACGTTCCCACCTCATGACTCAAGGTATACGGGTTCAAACCCAGCAGTCATGGAATTTTTTAAGGGCGGAAAAACTCAGGGAACAAGTCCTCCGGGAGGGACTTTAAGCCGTGGGTCCCGTGTCATAGATTTACGGCACGTAAAAGATCCTCATGTCTCTAGGAGACCTCTGAGCAAAATTAGGTAAAAAGTTTCCCGCCCAAGTAGTTTCCAATGTCTCCAGTAGATGGGGAAGTATCGGGTACCACTGCCAGTAGAGGGGCCGAACTCGCTGGCTGGACGGGGCTGATAGCGAGCACCAGTACCGGAAGGGTATGGCGACTGGTAGAATATCAAAGGGGGACGTACAATAGATCAACAACTGGTCGCGGTGCATGGGGAAACCCACACCCTCCAATAATTAATGAATAAATGAAGAACCCCAACATAAGTTCATCTACTACTGAAACCCAAAAATATGTCTCCCTCTTAATGTCTACTCTGGCAGATGTGTGCAGCAGCCCCACACATGCACGCACACATACAGATGAAAAGAAAAAAGAAACATTCTCAAAAAAAGTTTTCTTCTCATACCATACTGTTATTTTCTCCTGTCAGGACACTTTTCTGAATGAACAGAAAAAATATCCTACAATAAAAACCTTATCAAGCACATTTACTGCACATTTGCAGCCACTTGTTCCACAAGACACAAGCAAAATACCTGTACCACATAGCAGAATGCATATCCTATACACATAAAAGAGTGTTCCAAGAGGAAAGGGCAGTATTCTGGGAGGTCATAGTATCAGCCACTGTAAGCAAAAATAGGTATAGGTATCTGTGTCTATTCCGAACGGTTTCCAAGATACAGCCATTTCACTCTACAATTCCAAAATTGTTCATTAAAAAGAGATACTACATACTGTTTCTAAGACCAGTATTTATTGTTCAAGTGATAAAGTTGGTACAGTTTACCCAGGATAATACATTTCAGAAAATCCCGTCAATATCAATGCACTTTGCAACTCGCGTGAGTGCAGCATGACATTCTTTTATGTGGGCAATAACATGAAACAGGTCTATCAGGGAAGCTGTTCAGAATAGGACACATGTACATACACACTTTTTTGCTTAGAACGAGTGATACCATGACCTAGAATTTTGACCATTTCTCCTGGGACACCCTGTATACTCACAAAGTTCACAAAGGTATTGCTTCTGACTTGTATATTGTAGGTGCCCAGTTTAAAACTCTCATATGGGACACTGACTACCCTTACTGACGTTTCTCATGATTTTCCTCAGTCCATCCAGACAAATGGCAGAATTATTACCTCACACTAGGCCATGACTGCTTCCTTCCACATACTTTCCAATTCATTACTAATTCCTGCCATCTGATGTCATAGAGTTTGAATTACTAACAGCATTGTTAAATAAACTATAAACAAAGGTATTGTCATCTTCCAGAATACTTTATATACTGGAACATATTGCATATGTATGATATTAATGGTAAAGTAAAACAAAAATTATTACACTTTATCACAGCTTAAATATCACCTTCAAAAAAGTCAAATACACTCTAAAATTACTGGAAAAATGTTGAAGCTGAGATTGTAAATCATACAAACCTACATGTTGTAACACTTTTAAACTGAACGTCATTTCTAAAAGAAATAGCTATTTTACTTTTGGATGTATGCAAAGAGATCAAAGAACATGTAACTGTTTTAGGTTTCAATGATCAGCTTTTGACACAAGATACACATCCAAGAACCAAGACTACATAAAGATCACATTACCGGGACAAAAAATGAATTAATACGAAATGCATGCACATTTCTCAATAAAAATGTATGACCACATCTTTAATGAGCAGTTCAAAACTGAAGATAAACCAAGGAACATATTTTACAGTACCTCCTTGAATCAGCTCCCCTCAGTGGATCTGGAGTTGCAGAAGTACTGCGAATGACAGCTGGGGCTGAGGATGCAGGTGACACAATGGCAGAGCCTGCAGGTGGGTTCAAAGGTGACTGACTCAGCATGTAACCACTACCTGATGAACTCTGTCTGCAGGAAGGTAGCATAACATTTATTTCAATTCAAGACTTCAGGCCCCTTGTTTACAGGATGTAAGAGCCCAAACAACTGTACTGGCATTTTAGCTTCTTACCACCAGATTTTCAGAGAAGGGGTGTGTGCTGGAATGAGTTGTGGGCCAGACAGGATAAAGTTGAAAGGTCACTCACAGGCATTCACCATGCAGAGCACAGTATAAAATGAAGCTAGAGTAAGTTCATCTACATCTGGCTGCCTATTCATACAATGAATCAATTTTCTCAAAACGTTATACTGAGTATTCTCATGAAAATATGAGGTGCTATTAGAAAGTTCCCGGACTACGTCAAAAAACAAATGCTGGTTTAACTAATTCAATTTTGGCTGCCGTTTCCTTCAAAATAGTCTCCTTGGGAAAGTATACAGCGATCCCAGCATTTTTTCAAAGCTTCAAAAGCACCATGGAAGTAATATTCCTTAATGCTGTTGAGTACTGCTTGTGATTCCATTTGGATGTCAGACACTGCTTCAAAATGACATCCTTACAGTTTCATTTTAATTTTGGAAAACAAAGCGAAATCACAGGGGGCTAAGTCCAGAGAGTAGGGCGGATGTGGAACGATAATCATGTTGTTGTTAATCACAAACTCTGTTGTTTTCAGGGCGGTGTGGGCGGGCGCATTATCATGATGAAGGAGCAATGCAGCACATGTTCAAATTTTCTGTTAAGATTTCCTGGCAAACTCCATAACTGATGCCAAAGATTTCTGCAAGCTCATGGATTGTTCGGTAACGACCTTTGTGGATGAGTTCTTGGATGTTTTCAACATTTGCTGTCATTTTGCTGGTGCTTGGTTGCCCTGAACATTTGTCATCTTCAACTGACATTTGACCGGCCTTGAAACGTGAATGCCCTTCAAAAACCACTCTCTGGCTTAAAGAATGTTCTCCAAAAGCCTCATGAAGCATTTCAAAGGTTTCGGTAGCGGATTTACAGAGCTTCACACAAAATATGATGCAGACATGTTGCTGAATTTTGCCATCTATCCCAGACAAAATGAAAAACAATGCAGTGTCACATGGCAGACTGATGCAATAAGCTTGTGGAATTGTGACTTTGCATTCCCCTCTCTTCTTCTATCACCGAAGCAGTTACAACGACAGTCCGGTAACTTTCCAATGTCACCTTGTATATGCGTGCATGAACCATAAAAGCATTCAAAGCAGCCAGGTATGTCATATTACATAAGAAAAATATAGTAATTCTAGTTCGCATATTCTTCAATTGCAGTAAGTGTTCTGTTTTATGTCCCTATCCTCCACTCACCTCTTATCATAGTACTGAGAAAAATCATGCTTATATGAAATAATAAAAGTAATTTATATGTGAAGTTCAGGATGCTACAGCTCCTTTCACATTCAGTTGATGAAACGTTATCTAGAGCCAACTGTATCTGACGTTGCGAAATGATTGTAAGCCATATCTTATAAGACGCACATACACACTTTACCACAGGTTAGGGATCAGGATAGCTATGCAATGATTGCTATACATGTTATAACATTCTTATCGTCACTGTTGATTTTGTAATGATAAATATCCCCACCTCCTATTCCCATAACTGCCACACATGAACAGTCCTTTGGAAATACAAAAATGTATAACTGATGTTCACCTGACTGTTGGACTGGGTTGGGCAGCTGGGCTGCGGTGTTGGTGTGGGTAGCCAGATGGTGGACTAGGATCCGGTGGCAGCCCATTTTCCATGGGATGAGACACAACATAGGTATTGTTGACACGAGGATTCCGAGATGCGTCCGAGTGCTGGTGTGACACAGAACCAGACCCTGGGTGGACATTATTCACTGCAGAAGAAAATACTTCACTTTCAACCAACTCTATATAGCAATTTCTAAGAACTATTCACTCTGTGTGAGAAATAAACCATCATTTCTGAGTATGGCTCTGATGATGATAAAGAAGAACATTACTATTATTTGTTGTGAACTAAAACACCATATAAATGTAATAACGACAATAATACATTACAAAAATGCAGCTGCAGTAAAACAGTGGTAAAGCGAGTGTGTTTATTAGGACTTCATTACCGCGACAAAAACCACTGGAACCATCAATTTAACATTATGAAAAAGCAATGCACAAAATGTGAGCTTCTTTCCAACACCTTCATAACAAATGATTTGTTAACTAGCCACCACCATTCCCACATAACTTTTTGCACCAATTTATTTAGAATTTTGTTTCCTTAGTTATTTATGGCCACCTCATATCTCCAAAGGTCACTGAGCCAAATTCAAGGACGTTTCCCGCCCAACAGTAGTCTCTAACACCTCTGATAGAGGGGGGAAGCATTATAGATACCGCCAAGCCAGTAGAGGCCGAACTAGCTGGCTTGGTTGGGACTGATGGTACGCACCAATATCGGTAGGGTATAGAGACTGGTAGAATATCATAGAGGGAAGCACAATGGACCAATACTGGTCTAAGTGCATGGTGAAACCCACCCTCTCCAATAACTAACTAACTATTTATGGCCAGCAGTCTGTAAAGACACCATTAACCTAGCCCTCTCTGTCCTACCCTTGTCTAGGAGAAAGTCTTCTGTATTTCAGATTCAACTGTGAACGGCTTAAGCCCTCCAAACTTTAACCACTGAGAAATGTATATCAGATAATGCCCTCTAACTTTCCTCACAATTCCAGCAGTCCATTCCACTGTGTATCTAGCCTCTTTGCTGTCTGCACAGTGAACTATGTTCCCTCCTTGTCACACAGGTTTACCTTTCCCCTGAGCTCCCACTGACCTCTGATGATGATGATGATGATGCCACAGAATACACTGCATGAGAGTACCTTCAGGTTCTGTTGCCTCATCATCTATCCTGATTCAGTTGACAGACAATAAAATATTGACAACTCTAATTATGACAATGAATGCAATGTCATGACATTTAATGTCACAGAAATCAAACCAAGTCTGATTTCTATTGCCATCTGTCATGACTTTGCGACTCACAAAAAACTGCGCTGTTATAACTGCATAAGCTGCAACCTTAAATCTCACACGAAAACAAGCCTTAACACTGATCTTTATCTTGTGAGTACATATTGGTGAAATTCATTTTGCCATCTCAATTTGCAACTGCATGAAAGATATTATGAGGAGAGACCTGTGATACCACTATACCATCATAGACATGAGAACTAAGATGGTAAAAGGTAAACTTGTCCCTTCAACTAAGTAAGCACTATGCCATGAAGATGTATGGGGGAGTGGATGTACATATTCACATTTTCTTGACCTCGGCACTAGCTGGAGGTGAGGGGTCAGGTTCATGCCCTGGCTGCTTTACCCCCAAGGAAAGAGTCCCCAGTACCCATTGGATAGGAGGGTGGGAGGACCCCAGGGCTGGTCTCAATGACACAGAGAAGATACAATTCTTGACCCCACAGGGACTCAACTCTGACCCCTCAGTTGTCCACCCTATACCCAGTCACTATACCGACTGCTCTTTTGTCCCCGTGAACGAAGATGGTACGGATCATAAATCCACATACATCACAAAGAATTATTTTCATTACAAGTATGCTAACTTAAATTTAATTTTATTACATTACAAAGTTATACAGTTATAGGTCCGTGTATAATTTATGTGCCACAACTATATCCTGCGTTTTACACTTCAGCAGTTATGTATAATAGCAGTTTTAAAGCTATTTCTTATGCACATAATTTAAAAAAGTTGTGTGCATTCCAATCATGACCTTTAAAACAACCTAGCGCTGATACTTTAAGTACTGTGTGATCTAAACTGTTTCATATATTGGCCTGTTACTCCAGTTCAGTTTCCATTCATGTTTCTGCATCCACTTCCCAGACCTAACCATGAGTCATTCTTACAATTGGTTAACCCAGTTAACTTCTACCACTGTGCATGTATGGGAACATGTCTGACTTCCAGGCTGTCTCTTCCTGCTGCAAGAAATAGAACTCTCTTGACTGGAATCAGGCTGAGCCTCCTGTCAGCTGACCAGCATTACGCTGCTATCTGCTAAGCTTATGTTTATGTCCGGTCCATTGTTATTCTGAATACAGTATACAGAACTAAGACGATGAATCCTCCAACTAGTTTTAGATAAGAATTACCTTGAGCAGGCTGTGTGGTGAGAGGGATGGCTAGCCTAGCATTCACAGCCAAGAGATGGTCCCGCCGCTGTAAGAGACTGTTCACGTGCTCCTCCAGTCGCAGGTTTTCTGCTCTCAGTTGGTGCAAGCAAGATAACAGGGAGGCAACTGCAACAAAGCATTACTTATTCCTAGAACTTTAGTAGAGCTAGATTCTATGTCTCTATTTTCTACATTCACTTCCATGCACTTATTTATGTTTGTGTTTAGTGTGGATACTGTAAACTTCAAGTGAGATGTGTCATTTTGAAGCTTTCACGCAATATTTTTGCTTACTGTATACGAGATTAATATACAGCAGGTAAACAAAATAATGGAAACACTAAGAAACTGAGGAATAAAATTTGTGTTGGCTACACTGAAAGAACTTCAGCTGGCAACGCTGAATGTTCTTTCATTTGTTCACACTCTCTAATGCTTGTGTCAGTGCATTAGTGATTGTGTTGAGTGACAGCCTGCGTGAAAGAATAAAAAAATGGGATACTTGTCTGATTTTGAAAGAGGGCAGATCACTGGTGCGCATTAGGTGGAGCATCTGTAACTAGCCACATGTGTCAAAAGCAAGAGTTATAAGGTTATATCAGCATACACAAATCATGGAAAGATAACATCTGTGAAGAGCAACAGTAGGTGAAAATCAACATTGCCAGAAAGAGATCGTCATACATTGAGGACTGTTTCATAAAATCACAGAACTACTGCAACACGGGTGCACAGCTGCACGGCAGAGATCAAAATGATGGTTATAATTTACAACGAAAAGAATGAGCACTGCACTTTTTGTCAATAATATGCAGCCATAATTTTCTAACCTCAACCTAAAGCATAAAACTATACTCTGCAAAATAGTATCTGCATATTTCACACAGCATTCATTGGGTAAGGTGCATAATTATGCAGGTAAATATAAAAGTAAAACACTAAATATTAAAGAATAGGCATTCTAAAAAAGGACAATATATAACAAATAAAAAGTAAAATGAAATATATCAAGGGAGAAACTACATAATATGTACCACAAAACAAGATCTTTCTGCTACTACCAGACTTTATAAATGTTTATAAACACATGTAAATTCAAAATGACATGAAATACTCACATCAAAACATATCAGTATCCTTAGCCACATTTACTGCTATCTTCCAGAGACACTTACTGTCGAAGTGCTGAGCCTGCTCCATGAGGAACTGACTGCCTTGCTCCCACTGTCTCTCCAGCAACTGATCCAGACTCTGCGGGATGCTTCCTACAGCTCCTGCATTACTGCTACTCCCTGCATGATTGCTAGTACTACATGTGGGATTGTTGGCACCAGTACTGTTGACAGGGTTGATGGTGGTTCCAGCAGTGCTGCCATGTGCTGACCCACCTGACACACTGTTTGCATTGCGAACCTGTACCACAACACAATCATTACCACAGTAAGGACACACAAAGCCCATGTGAAAAGCTACCCAATCTCTGCTCCTTACTCATGGTACTTACAGAAGCAATGACCCGGCTGTGTAACTGTGGTCCAACAAGCAATGTTGTGGAATTGCTTGAGTCACTGAAAATGCTGTGAGCCTCCATTTCTGCTGACAGTGTATCTGACATCTTCTGTGCCATTGTTGACGATGGATTCAGCTGATTGCCTAGCATATGTGGAGCACTGACGCCGTTCTGAAACCTGTCAACGGATACCCTTTTAACACTCACTGCACAAATATTTTGAATAAGCCCAGAGAAAATGCTCAAATCTAAATTCTTATATAAAAAAGTAAAATTGTATGTGCTTAATTAAGCATAATGTCATGAAGATGTAGTGGAGAGTAGAGGTATTGCTCCACCATTCTTGACCTCAGCACTAGACAGAGGTGAGTGGTCAGCTTCATACCCTGGCCACACTTCCCCTGAAGAAAAACCACCGGGAACCCACTGAATAAGAAGCTGGGTGGGCCCCAGGGCCCATCTGGACACTGCAGAGTAGAAAAAGATCACTTTTCCCTGCTGGGAATCAAACTCCACCTGTCCTGCCCATAGCCCATCACTCTACTGACTGAACTATCCCGGCTCATTAAAAGGAAAACCTATTTCAATTACAAAACAAAAAAACTGGCACAGAAAAAGCAACTGTTAGAAGTCGTACACATGCTACATGAACAGTAACTAGGCCTTGATATTTCCAGATTCAGTTTTCTTATTCTAATTACATCTTATTATTCATAATGAAAAGCCCATGCACAAGACACAGACAGCACAAATTGGACAAGTGAGTAATGAATATATGTTTACATGGAACAAATACATTCTTCTTGTTACAATATATGACCTAAAAACCAACAAATTATCTTCTTACATAATATTACTATGCTACCACATTTCATTTTTTTCTTTTACTTTATGCTACCACATTTCATTTTTTTCTTTTACTTTAATACAGTGAAACTATAGCAGATTGAGTAAGCTTATGACAAGGACTCAATCAGACTGACAAGAACCACTGGGAACATAAATTTCTTAATGCTGTAGGTACAGAAAACTATTTATAAAAAGAGGGTTCCCCCCCCCCCAACACATTCAAGCGATTCCCGATTAGCCACCGCAGTTTTCCCATAACTTTATGTACCAAGTACACTTGCAGTTCGGCATCTTTGCGAGGTCAACAGGTCACCCAAGCACACTGAGTTCATACTGGTGAAACTAGGTACTGTGATCTCAGTTTATGACTCTGTGGAAAACATAATGAGAAGGGATCTACGCTACGACTGAAACACCAAAGGCATGGGAACTACAGATGGTACAGTTCCTAGCCATGTGTCTTATAAAGTGGGCTACTTTCATTAGAGTCTGGTAACATGAATGTAACAGCAAAAATAAACAAATACAGATTTGCATACACTTCACGTGCCATTACCATAATATGCATTTTACAGTTAAAAGTAGTGGCTAATTCACAACCATCGCCTACATATGTAACATCAAAAAGTTGCATGTATTCCAATTGTGGCATTTAGAAACAGTTATATAGTGTTCATATATATATGTCACACTGCAATTAAACCGCCGTGTGTGTAAAGTCTGCTACTCAAGTTCAATACAAGCTGATGTGTTAATTCTCATGTGTGAAATGAATTATGGGTGGAATATGACTGATCCATGGTTGTGTGCATGCAAAAAATGGTGGGTGAGACTTCTGCTCATAAAGAACAGCTCCTAATTAGCATTTGACTGTGAGTGCAACAGGTTATGTTTATTATTATTATTATTATTATTGGAGGGGGTGGGTTTCCCCATGCACCGCGACTAATAGTCTATTGTACATCCTCTTTGATATTCTACCAGTCGCCATACCCTGCCAGTACTGGTGCTCACTATCAGTGCCATTCAGCCAGGAAGGCTGGCAGTGGTACCCGATAACTTCCCCATCTACTGGAGGCATTGGAAACTACTTGGGCGGGAAACTGCCTAATTTTGCTCAGGTCTCCTAGAGACATAAGGATCTTTTACGTGCTGTAAATCTACGACACGGGACCCACGGCTTGAAGTCCCTCCCCGAAGACTTGTTCCCTGATTTTTTCCGCCCTTAAAAATTCCACGACCTCTGCCGGGTTTGAACCCACGTACCTTGAGTCATGAGGTGGGAACATTACCCCTAGACTATGGAGGCTGCTAACAGGTTATGTTATTTTAAGTTAGTTTAAAAAATCTTCTGGTTCACACAGTGTTAAGGACAATTATTCTGAATTATTCTCTATTATTTTCATATCCCTATGATAATCGCCTCAAGACACAGAAACACTGCCATATCCACAATATTACTTAAACCTCGGTGCCATACTCTATTAAACATAAACGGCAGTTCTGTGACAAATTTTCAGTCACTTTTGGACATTACAAGTATCTGTTATAACAAGCATTTTTAAGAATTATATAAACAGTAGTAACATCAAGGTACAACGGAACTCACAGTTTGATGTCCTTGTCATCTCTGTCACGACCACCACTGCTCCGTTTGTTGTTCTTAGTCCTGCTGTTACGTCCACCAGAATGAACAGAAGTCGTCTCTGATCCCGGACTGCTTGGAGGTGAGTCCTTCACCATGTTGCTGGTTGGGACTACAGCAGTTGTAATGGAGTTATGGCCAGGCTGAGAGTGTGTAGTTGCTGGAGGTGGTGTAGGGTTGTTGCCAGTGCTCCCACGACTTCCTCTCTTGTTGCTGTTGTTTGTGTTAGTGCCTGTCCCTGCAGCTGCAACAGTAGTGGTGGTAATGGTGGTGGTGACGGTGGACAGTCCAGTTGTTGAAGCTGTCATAACAGTCCCGCTGTTACCACGCTTCTGTTTACGACCTTTCTCTGGCTTCTCTGTTGACTGTGTCCTACAGTCATATTGAAGAGATGAAAATGTCATCAAACAGAATGTTTTTCATGTGGAATATTTAATATTCTACTACATTTTCAGTGTTCACAAACAAGAACATCAAGTATCAAAAAAATTCCAGTCCATATTGCATGTTTAAACACACCGTAACTACACACATACAGGTTGGTTAAAAAATCACTGTCCATCTTAGAGTTCAGCTGCATTTACCTCATCACATTTGAAATAATGGTGGAAATTACTTCCACAAACTTGTTAACATGTATCCATGCATGTAATATCATTAATAAAACATATCAGAGTTAAATGTTAAAGAAGACATCCTTGAGTTCCTGGAGGTTTGGGAATTTGTTTGGTAACTAACCTGAATCCTCCACGCAATTTCTGTCATCATTCAATCTGCTACAAAGAGACATAAATTCAACTTACATCATTCAGCGTTGATCATATCGAAAAAGATTAAGCCCAATTATACAAGCAAATATATTCTCTGTATGTACTCCTGACATTCCAGATCTTGGTGCAACAAGAGCTCATGAAGTGTTACAGAATTCATCGATCGGCTGTCTCACAATGTCAAGGATGTGGTATGGGAATCTTATGAAAGTTTCCCTTAGATCCTCATTGCACATTCACTACATACCTACTTCCATTTTAATACAAATTCCACTACAATCATCTTGCCTTTGAGAGATCACTGTCAATCCTAAAGAAATGGAAACCTAAATGTAATAATTAGGCACTACAATACAAAGAAAATGAATGTAAATAACTGATTTTTTCAGTCACTCAGTTTAAAATCTATATTTACGAGTACAGGTAAGGTAAGGTCAAGTTGCCCCTGTGCTTAACTAATTAAGCACTACCCCATGAAGGCATATGGGGAAGTGGATGTATAGACAAACATTTTCTTGACCTTGGCATTAGCTAGAGGTGAGTGGTCAGCTTCATGCCTCGGCCGCTTTACCTCCGGTACCAATTGAATAGGAGGACGGGTGGACCCCAGAGCCAGTCTGGACAATGTGGAGAAAATTTTTCACCCTACTGGGCCTTGAACTCAAACCCTTTGGCTGTCCAGCCTGTAGCCAGCTGCTATACCAACTACACTATCCCAGCTTCCCATATTTATGAGTATAAAATACAATTTTAAATTCTGGTTTTAGACTTATGGTTCTTGCATGTTCTTTTGATTCCACATAAATTATCCTATATATAAAATGAAAATGGCAGAACCATTCCATTACATTAATTTCATCTGTTACATGCATGTCATACTAATTTTTATGGTGCTGAATACCAAGCAAAGACCAGCTACATCATCATAGACATTATATTGTGACGTGTCGCGCTAGCTGGACGCCCCCCCCCCAGGAGCTGACGCGCCGAGCGGAGCCGAAGTTAGCCGAGTCCCAGCATCCTAGTAGCTATGCAACGCAAGTCAACAGCAGTGACGTCACCACGGGATACTGCGGTTGCTAGGCGGCAGTAAACAACTCCGGACAGCGTTGCTAGCAACACAACACCACACAACGATGGTGCCTATTACGTGGCTGTTTTCTGCGTTGTCTGGAATGAGGCTTGATGCGGAGCAGCGAAGACTATTCACAGTCAGTTCTGCGTTAGCCAGCAACCAGTCAGTTGTACTCTGGCATTTGCAGTGTAGGATTTGTGATACTGCCAATGGCAGTAATTGTCAGATTGTAATTTGGGTGATTGTAAGTGCAAATGTGAAATAAAATTCGCTATATCAAATACGGCATGAAGTTATTTGTCGCGTTATACACCCAATACGTGACAATATCATAGTACTCCCAGTTACATGAAAAATTGCTTGGACTGGAAACCTGTAGTGGATATTGCCAGTAACATACACAACTATTATAAGCCTACATTGCCACCATATATGCTGAAACTTGCATCGACATATACTGTATGTGGTCTCAAACTGTTGCATGTTAATTCAAGGACACATTAACACCTACATATATGAAACTTCATAAAGGAACAATTTGCAGATCACACTGTTCTGTCTTCAGAATTCTGAAACGAGGCACAATAATTTATAATGCCACTTCCTAATATTAGGCGTGCCCAAAATATCATCGGCATCAACATCTACTTACCGGGCCCTCTTACTAGGCTGGTCCCCTATATGCTGTGGCTGCTGATGTGCTACAGGCTGTGCTCGGCTTTCTGCTGCAGATGCATTAACTGCTGCCAACACTGCTGCGTTGCTGGTTACTACACTCGACTGTTGCAGCTGTTGGAATAATGTTGGGGCTGATGTCACCACAGTGGATGCCGCAGATGCGGGGGGCTGGATGGACGTGGCAGCCAGAGGCACCGACACCACTATACTTCCAGCACTGACTGCACTGCTTACTAAGCCTGTAGCACTAGAAGCTGATGTGATCACATTACCTGACAATGGTCTTGAGTTCACATTGCTCACAACTACTGACTCTGTGACTGTGGACAAAGGCATAGGGTTTGAGCTACTACCACTTACTCCACAAATACTTCCACTTTCTACCTTTAGTTTCTTGGAATCCACTAACACTGCACCACCATGATTATCAGTACCTCCAGAGGAACTGACGGAAACATTACCTACTATAGCAGTGACACTACCGGCAACAGCTGGGATGCCTGCGGTACCACTCACTACAGGTACTGGTGCCTGCATAGAGGCAATGTCAGATGAGTTATCTGGGGTTGTTGGCGTCCGGCTTCCACCAGCCTTTCGTTTCTTTCCTGTGATACTGGAACTAGCAGTATTAGAACTGCTAGAAGCCTGGATAGTAGCTGATGAAACACGCGCATTTGCCTGTCCAACTGTGGCTATATCAGCACCAAACACACTTTCACTTTGGGTCACAACTGTTTCAACAAAGTTTGAAGTGGTAAATTTAGTACTGCCACTGTTGGCACTGCTTGTAACCGATGTTCCCATAATTGTAGTGGCTGAAAGATTTGAAGCGTCCTTGGGGCCTAAAGAAGGGTTTGACGACTTAGTTACGTCAACTGTGTCACCACCTGCACCAACGGAAGAAGCATCACTGAGGCTCGGACTGTGGCCACCTACAACAGTTTTGGCACCTGGTGCTCCACCCTTCACTCCTGCAACCATAGAGGTAGCACTGGTGGCCTTACCTGTCCCCTTCCGCTTCCCACTAACACCTGCCTTAACCATACTATCTGACTCTTTCTCTGGGGAGGAGTCGGAAGATCCGTGGTCAGCTGGAATTGGTTTGTATGGTGGGATAGTCTTCACATTGCCACCCTTCTTCTGAAAATGCAATCATACGGAAACATGAAGCATTTAGAATTACGTCTGTAACACAACAAAGTATGCCATTTTTGTAGTTTAATTTACACAACTGTCAGCATCAATCACAGGTTATCAGCTCTTCATTGTATGGAAGATGAAATATAAAACAGCTACTTCAACGTTTTTTCTAATAATGGGTTTTCCTCCTATCATATCAAACTCTGGTTTCACATTCTAGTATTTGCACACATTAAATATAATAGGATGGCTTATAATTTAAAGTCCCTCACTTTCATTAGTCAAATAAATTACTCACTATACATTTTGATAGTGGTTCAGGCACAGAAATAACGTCACCATTAGAACATTCAATAGATTCAATTTCAGTATCTACCAAATATTTCAAAATTAAGAACATGACAAAAACAACGATACACAAACAAATATTAATTTTTTTGACACTTTCCTTATTTTAAAGGTAAAGGCAGGCTTATGGTATCACTGCCTGGCTATCTGGGCTTCTGATATTTTTGAACTTGATGACGAACTTACATGAAACTTGACAGAAAGAGGATGCAACCAGAGACCACCATGCCTTTGTACTTTCTAATTTCCTACCATCAATAATACCTACACAGCAGCCACCTCAACTGAAAGTAACATTACTCCTGAAATTCTGCGCGGTAGCAATGCTTCAAAGCAAAATGCTCAGGAAACATACCAGGCCATATATGACCTGCAATAAGTGAGCAATTCAGGATATAACAAGGAGAGTAGCTTTAGGTGATACAGGTCACTTATTTTTGTTAGGATACCACAATCCAGGAGATTACAGAGGGAAAGGAATATAACCTAGACGGGGGAAAATAGAAATTTATATACTTCTTATGAGGAAACCTCTCAGAAGGTGGCTACTTCAAAAACAAAAGTGGAAGAACATTAGAACGGAACTCAGAGAAACTGTTCTGCGATAACAGGAGATAGATAGAACTGAGTCAGGATCACGTGTAACAGGAGGCTTCAGAATGCATTGATGAACCTCCAGTATTACCAGAGTTACTTAACCCTTCAGTTTTGGGCTCAGTGCACCACACAACAGCAGTATCTGTCACACGCTGCCTGGGTTGGAGCACTGTATGCGTATTGCAGCTCTAAGTTTCAGCTCTTATTTTGAACCATTCTTTTTCATAAGTAATTCTTTTGGTACGAAATTAAAGAGGATATTTCAGGCTATCATTTCGCATATTCGCTGTCATACTTTGAACTTGCTGCAGGAGTTGTAATACATTTGGATTCTTTGAAAAAGTTTTCAATTTCAACACTTTGTGCATTTGTTACCATACAAACCTACATCTGCCTAGGGGAATTCTTATGAACTAAATATGTTAGATCGATCCTGTGTACTCTCCTCTATCCTGATCGAATGAAAAGTCAATTCTCTTGAGGCATATTCTGAACTGTTCGGCTTCAACATTGGTATTTGTAACTACAAGAAGACATGTGGAGAATCTATGGCTTTGCGATGTGATGTTGACTCTAAGAAGCGTGTTATGATTGCTACTGTAGCAAATGATAAACAGTTCACTATATGAATACTGCTACTTAATCCCCCTTTGTTCTATAAATATGCATCACGCAATCTGGTTAGCCAAGGTCAGCCACAAGGAATGAAGTGGCCAGCTGTGTTGTGTCATGACCAGTGGAGAATATATTTACTTCAAACTGAATTAGAACAATGTTTTATCAGATTCAGAATTAAACACTGAAAATGGATGTTTGTGCTTTTCTCGATTCTGTGGTAAATGACAGAATCGAGAATAGCACAAACATCCACTGGGAGAATATGCAAAACTATAAGGGACAAAAAGAAAATTTCTGAATGCGATGATAATATGTAGGAATAACACAAGGAAAAGGATAGATCAATTGTCAATTAGAATTCAGTTAACTGAGGGACTCTCTGTGATATATGCTAATGCTGTAGAACACAAAGTTCGTCCGACAAAACAGTGCCCCATCTAGGAGAAAACCATTTTATAAGCAAGATTCCACCAACTGTGAAGAAATCAAAACCACAGAAACGGCATGTTGTGTGTCAAATACTGTGTGCTGGTGGCACACGTGTGATGTGTTGTGTGTGACCCTGTGTGGAATGTTTTCATGACTAACACACCCAGCTGAACTTCTAGGGTAATATGATACTATCATAACTTTTATGGGCTTACTGTGCCAAAAAATAATTTTAAAGCAGTGTGGATCAATACACCGATTCTATATACATTTCTGAACATAGTGTGATAATTAGAAAAACAGAACTCCAGTTTTTCCCAATTTATTACACTTTAAGTGAAATGTTGCACCTTCTGATTTAAATATTTATATATCCTTTCGCATAGGAGTTGAGCAGGAATTTAAATGCCGGCTGGCAGTGAAGGGTTAAACAGGAAAATAAATTATATTAAATATTAGATTTCTAGGGCTTGAATGTTCTCAGGGTTCAAATTCTGATAAAAATCATTAATCTGTAGCATACCAAGTACTACTGATATTATTGTAAATCAGAACTACTGAATGTAATTTTAATGCTGACTGAAAACTCTGTAACTGCCTTTCAAGAAATATTAGACTCAAATATCTCAGCCTGAATACCCCTTCCATACCAAGGTGAGGATACAAGGACCAATGGAGTCCCACTACCCAACCACCCATCTAGTAGCACAGGGTGAAAGCAACTACTCTGTTCCACTCAAGAGGTCAGGGACTGAGAAATGCTTACAAGTTTTGAGTAGTGATATTGACAATAGCCACAGTATTTGACATTGTCCAGGTAATTGCCAGCCTCCTCACATAACAAGCCAAGTGCCTGAGCACAAGTCACATGGAACTGCTGTCTGCAACCAGTCTTATTACACTGCATACAAGCACCAACCGTTGCACGAGACCCCTTTCCCTGCTCTTCACATATATAGCACACCTACAACAGGCATGTCAAGAGAAACAGTAACATCAGTATATATCAAACATAAGCAATGATACAGAAAACAACTGTTACAACAACCCAATATAGCAACATATGTTTTGTTCCTTTACAGTTTTAAAGCACAGGATTTTATTATTATTAATAACACGAAGCTCCATCTACTCAAAAGCAAAAACTCAGTAAAATAAATTATAGTATGTGAGATGAGGAAGGTAACAGTCTAAGCACATTCAGAGAAGAAATATAAAATATTTTCAACTCCGAACTGTGGCCAAGTCTATTCTCTTATGTTGATGCTCATGTGGGTCCTTTTTCCACAGAGCAGAGCATTATGTAATTCAAATTTTAAACCATAAATCAGAATCATATATTCTATTAAAAAAATGAACTTGATTCAGATCAATTCATCATCTGCTTTCAGCCTGTAAGGAGTTCAAAAAATCCGAGAGGCAAAACTCTGATGTACATGTGTGAACATCTCATCTAGCTGGAACTAGGAGTCTTACTCGACTTGCAGAATAGAAATGAACTATCAGATCAACCACCAGCACCATTCAACATTTACAGCTCAACTTCACTGAAGAAAAATGGATTACATGCCTATATGAAAGTCCACACCATATTTTAAACTTTTAGTGACTGTAATGGCTCCTCGCAAAAAATATGGGGAATTTCAGCATTCCACTCAGCTACTTTAGCTATTAATATTACACTGACATTGGAAAAGGCATCACGCACAGAATAAACTTTATCCAGAAAGGATACGTAACCTCGAATTAAATTTGAAATCACTACCACTGTCCAAAATTTTTTGCCTTTAGCAAGTTCATTACTTTTCACATAAGTGTGTATAATAAGAATGAAACTTCTTCAATGTGTTATGTGGCTATATGACTATCCACTCTGTTGAGCAAGTTTTTTTTCTGGAGATTTCCAAATGTTTTACAAACATTCAACATTCAACAGTGAAGGCTCACTAGAACATACAAATACAAATCACTACGTCCAATGTGACATACAGGTTTTCACGTAGTAAACTTATATGTCACATTGGATGGAGTGATTTGTAATTGTTAGTGTGACGAACCAGAATGAAACAAATCAAATTTATCACCAGAACACTTCTTATATTTGTACTGCCTGTATCATGGAAATGTTTACTAAACGAAGTACTGTTACCTAGGACAGGAGAATAAACATCAGTTTGCCATGCCAAATAAAACTGTCATGTTTAGGGACTACTTCAAGGCAACACCAAAAGAAAAAACAAACTCCGTGATTTTAGTCCGCAAGCGAACTATACTGACCAAGCGACCACCACTTGTTGGCGAAGTTAGTGCCAACTTTTGTGGATAGAGGGTGTCGTGTGGTCGGTGCAACAAATCCCCACGGCCGATAATTTCGATTTTCTAGACTATAGCCGCTATTTCCTTGAAATAGTTCCTAAATTATCAATATGAGGCTGAGGAGACCCCGTTCCAGACCCACTACTTCTCAGAAAAAATCTGGTAGTGCCGGGAATCGAACCTGGACCTCTAGATCTGTAGCCAGGAACTCTGACCACTAGACAAAAAAAAAAGTAAAGTAAAGTAAAGTGTCCCTGAGCAAAAAATAAAACCACAGATGCGGGAGATGGCACACATGTTATGCATATTAGATACAACACAAAATGAAATATTTTCCATTGTCAGCACACTTCAATGTTGTCATTATTTGTTGCACTTAACACATCCAGACAAGTACTTTTTTATATTCATGCAGACATTTCATTGCACTGATACCGTTGTGCAGAACTCACACAAACAGCTTTCTCCTGTGAAGTTGCCATTTTAACTTCTTGCCACATGACGCTCTCCTTCTGCATTCTTTTTGTTAAACCTCTAGTGATAATATAACAAATTTTAAGTGTCTGCCTATTTAAGAGATAAGTCAAATGCTTTTGCCACGCATTGTGATTTTCAATTACAGCTTTAATGTGTTCAAGGTCATTTGGCATATGTTTATACTTTATATTCTGTTCATGAATTTATTTATGCATATGTAACCCAGCTCTTACAGCATTAGTGTCACAACTTGCAAAATTCAGATGTCTGTGTTTACAACTTAACAGATGCAGTAATTATCTTGCACAAGGGAGTACCTACAGAAGTTATATCTTCACTTTTAACAGTTCTGCATATCGTCCATGATATGTACGCAGTGTCCGTCTTGTAGTGCACTCAATTTCACCTGTTATTTCATGACATGTTTCGGCAACATAGTGCCATCATCAGGTGCTCCATTTATGCTAATCTATTGCATATTCCCACCAAGAAATACTGAGCTAATTATTTTAAGTAGGCCATTGCTACTTCTTTCCCGAGTCTTTTCAACTTATCATTCATTTGATCAACCTCACTTCATGATACGTTACCTAAGCATTTAAAAATATCACTAAATAACCAGAGAACAATCTGGTTGCAAAACATGAAGGTAAAGTTGAGCCTGTGCTTAATTTATTAACCACTAAGCCATTAGAACATATGGGGGAGTGAAGGCACTAGATGGAGGTGAGTGGTCAGATTCAAGCCTCAACCACTTTACCGTGGGGGAAATTACCACCCCGTACACACTGGATAGAAAGTATTGTAACTTTATTCTCTTATTGTAATCAGTCAATGTACAGTAACTGACTTGTCCTATATCATGTAACAATGATATATAGAGATGAAGTAAATAAATAAAAATAAAAGCTAAGTGGCCCCAGAGCCAGTTTCCCATGCTGTGGAGAAGAGAAAAATATTGCCATGCTGGGAATCAAACCTGGGTCATCCAACCCATAACCCGACGCCTGTCCTTACAGAACATGAAGGTTCTGTCAATACCATGGCCAATCAATGGACAGGATCCTGAGTTTCTTCCATCCATGTCCCATTCCTACAGCCCATCTCCCTAAGATGCACATGATGTTATTATCTCACATCTTTCTTCATCTCCCAAGTGTCCATTTTCCAAATGGTTCCCCACAGAACTCTCTGTGCACTTCTTGTCTCTCCAACTGAAGCCAAATATCAGCCCAGCACAGACTTCTAGAATTCACAGATGTTTAACAAAAAGTTCTTTACACTGACAAACATTACGACACTATCTGTTTACATCTATAATGCCATGTAATTTTCACTTCACTACTCTCATTACATTATTCTTCACATGTACAAAGGGAAATGAGGGTGGGAAATTGTTCCCTTCAACAGTTTCCACTCTCTTCTGGTCCACCATCTTAATGTTACGCCTGCTAACTTCATAACAAAACAGAGAGCAAAATCTGATGGGATTTATTACACACATGATGAAAAACTGTGATTTCTTTGCAGACCTTCCATAATAGTTTTATACATCTAGTTTTGTATGTAATTTGTTTCTGGCTGGCCCAGTCTAACCAGACTTCATAATGTAGTAACAATAGATCACTGTGGTCACGGTGCAAGGGCCAAGAAGGCCCACCCCTTATACATTCATTCATTCAAAACTTTATTTACTGCTTAAGGAATTATTTTGATATTTCATGTGGATTTGTATGTTTTAGACATAAAACCATAATTTACTATTTCATTCGTAACTAACTAAACTGAACAAACTCCTTGGTGATGAGTGCTTCTTGAGAAGCCACAAATTCCTTAGCCACCCAAGAAATTCCCAGCATATTCTGGAAACCAATGGTTCATTATCACATTCAGAAAAGTCCACCACTCATCCCCATACTCAGTCAAATGAATCCATCCCATCCACACTCCCCTTCCAACACTACTTCTCTAAGATTCATTTTGATATTATCCTCCCGCCTATATCTATGTCTTCCTAGTGGTCTCTTTCCTTCTGGTTTTCCTGCCAAAACCCTGTACATACTCATTTTCTCTCATGCCCACCTCATTCCCTTCATCCCCTTCAACTTGATCATTCTACTAATATTCAGTGCTGAGTACAAGTTATGAATTTTATAAAGTGATTTGATATCACCTTCCAATGTGACATTGGACAGTGTTATCAAATCATTCTACAATATTTAACCTTTAAACACTGGACTTCGAAATAGTGGTAAACTTGAGCTGTGCCGGAGTTTATTTAAATGCCCGCTGCGGGTGCTCGTTTAAATGCCCGTTGCTCCCTTGCGTTTAAATGTCCGTTCCTGTTAGGCGGTTAATCAAT